CACTAAAACAACCAAGACATCTACTACTACCCCAGAGAGACAGGCCGATCAAGAAGTTGAAACAGAGACAGAAGAAGGCTCTGCTTTGATTTGCATGACGACGCCTGACGTTCTTCCAGCGGGAAATGGAACTGCTCCATTCACGTGAGCTCTTTGCATTCAGCATCATACCCCCTTTGTTTGTTCAGGCAGACCTTGCACGGCCCTGCTTTTCTTTGCCCGTGTGAGTTTTGCAGAGAGGAGCAGTGGGGCCGAATCGTCAACGCCATTGAAAATTCCGCTTCGGCTCTCTTACCCGGTCTTCTCAGCCTTGCTGCAGTAGCGCTTGGCCTCGTGGCGACGATGTGAAGTAGCGCGATACGACGGGATGACCACTGAGGGCGATGGAAGTTGTTGATCATTGTGCACAGTATTAGCGAGAAAGCATCGACAAAGGGCGTTGGTAGGCACGCTTGTGGGTTTGCCCCTTAACAGGACTTGCAAATTGTAGCAATATGTGCTCCAACATGGCGGAATATGTTGCGTTCTCCCCGCATCATCAGCCCGACGCCCCTGTACCACTGTTTCCAGGACGGCTGGAGCATGAGGGGAGGTGTAGTGCATTGGCACTACAATGCATCGCTGTAGATACATAGTGGACAAAAATGAGACGAAGATTTGTAACAATGTTCAAAATTTAAAAGTTAGTAAACCAAATCGTAGAGTAAAGGTAGTTAGCCGAGGATAGCCGACTCCCTCGTTAGAGGCAGAGTCACCGCGGAAAGTGGGCGGGCCGCAACGTGGCGGGCTCACGCCGTACCCCCACAGTTCTAAGATCTGGCTGGCCGATCGCCAAGCTTGGGGCAAACGGATTGACGTCGAAGTCGGGCTCGGTGAACTATTTTGCTCTAATATTTGTCCATTAAACTGTTTGTACTTCTATTAGAAACGATAGCACCGTAGTTCCTGCTCGTAATAGCTGCGAACTACTGCACTTGTGAGGAACTCCCCTTCAGGAACGCCAGTCTAAGGGGAGTTCGGGGCCTTAGGGATCATGTGGCCCTCGGAACCTGATCGCACTCACGTCAGTAGATGCACTAGTA